TTAATGAAATTTAAAAAGGTCAACCAGCCCCTCCCCTCCTTCAAATCAGACAAAATTGTTGTCACCTTGATTACGGTCGTGCAGCAAAATTCTTTTCTGTTTGTGCTTTTGTATTGAAGATATCAATGAAGGTTTAAAGGTCAACCAAATGTTTGTGCAGTAAAAATGTCACTTGTGCTGCTATCATGTTGGATATTTTTTAAAAAGTCTTGATAGGTCAACCCTCTGTTCACATTTACAAAAATAATCTGCTCTGCTACATTTGTAGCAAAAAAGGCTTCTGCTGCTTTTGCTTTGACTATAGTGATGAGTCCTGCAAACTTTTTTTTTTTAATCTTTAAAATGATGGCAGCACAAATGTTTGACACCAGTTTTGTAAGATTTTCATCTGTAATTCACCTCATCCGCCTCTAGGTGGTGTCCTTATCTAATTAAATCTTCATTTCTCCATGCCAAACTGACATCTGCCTTCTGTTTTTTAAATTCCTTTCCCCTCTTGATCTCTCCACAGCCCGGCTATCTTAGAAATGTGACCTGGACCCTGTCCAACCTCTGCCGCAACAAGAACCCGTCCCCTCCTGTGCACGCCATCCAGCAGATTCTACCCGCCCTTGTCCGCCTGCTGCACCACGACGACCTGGAGGTGTTGGCCGACGCGTGCTGGGCTGTTTCCTACCTGACGGACGGCTCCAATGACCGCATTGAGATGGTGGTTGAAACCGGCGTGATTCCTCGCCTGGTGAAGCTGCTCGGCTTCCAAGAACTGTCTGTAGTTGTACGTGCCAAACTTCACAAAACTTGCCCTATTCTCCACAGCTACCACGTTTCTCCTAGCTCTTAAATAATCCACTTTTTGTCCTGTCAGACTCCAGCGCTCCGTGCTCTGGGTAACATCGTGACCGGCACAGATGAGCAGACTCAGGCTGTTCTTGACGCCAGCGCGTTGTCCATGTTCCCCCACCTGCTGCGCCACAAAAAGGCCAACATCCAGAAAGAGGCAGCCTGGACTCTGTCCAACATCACGGCAGGGAAGGACACCCAGATCCAGGAAGTCATCAACGCAGGCCTCGTTCCCTACATGGTCGACATGCTCGTGCGGGTACGTTCTGGGGACAGTTATCGTGGTTCAACTAAAACTAACAAACTGAAGTTGAAAACATTTTGGATAAAAACGGTAATTACTAGGGGGGGAAAACTAACTACGAACTACAGGACATTGTGTGTTTATCTAAAACCTACTGAAATTCTAGATGCATCTTTAATTTTTGTGTTTATGAATCTATTAACATGAACTATATTAAACTAATAAAAACTAGCAAACCCACTCCAAAAACTAATTCAATCTGAAGTAGACAGTCGAAATAAAACTCAACTATTATGAAAAACCTAAAACTACTATAACCCTGGTTCTTGGTCAAAGACGGCAATATGCAACTAGATTAATCAGTCAGAATCGGTTCTAAACTGAATAAAATCTGAAAACTCTTCAATGCACAAAGTGGAAATTTCTTATCTTTCAGATCAAATTATTTAGTTTGGTGCTTTTGAAACCTTCATTGAGAACCAGTTTGGTAAAAAATTTGTTTGAGGTGAGGTGGAAAATGTTTAATTTCCTCCGTCTCTGCAGGGTGACTACAAAACCCAGAAAGAGGCAGTGTGGGCAGTAACCAACTTCACCAGCGGGGGCACTGTTCAGCAGGTGGTCTACCTCGTCCAAGCCAACGTTCTTGAGCCGCTTCTGAATCTGCTTTCCTCCAAGGACAGCAAAATCGTCCTCGTCATTCTGGACGCCATCACCAACATCTTCATGGTGAGATGTTGAGACCAAGACGCATGCATGAACGCCACGGCTTTCTGTGCAGCTTCTCACGTTTCAAATTTCCCCCATGTCAGGCCGGAGATAAAATCGGAGAGTCGGACAAACTGAGTCTGATGATCGAGGAGTGCGGTGGCCTGGACAAGATAGAAGCGTTGCAGGCTCACGAGAACGAGTCGATCTACAAAGCTGCACTCAACCTGATTGAGAAGTACTTCTCTGAAGAGGTGGGTAGAGATCTTCGACCATTAGCCTTGCCTGACGTATTAAACCGTGTGTGACGTGTTCCTATCTGCTTTCGTTGAAGGAAGAGGAGGTGCAGTGTGTGATCCCTGAAGCTACTGATGACGGTTACGCATTCCAGATCAGTGAAAACCAGAGCACGTTTAATTTCTAAACGACTTGTTGCTTTCACTCTGTACTGTAACCTCCCACTGCTACGGTCTGTCCTGTGTTCATGTGACATTTGCTGATATTTGTATGTATTGTACATACTCCTTTTATAACAGAACAAATGTGTAAATAAAGCTGTTGGATCTTGTTTGCCAGTGTTCACTCTTTTTGTCTTACTTTTATAAACTGCATTAAACTTTAAATACTGACCAGGTTTAGTCAAAGACCTCATCTTGCAACAAATTTTAGAAATGTGTGAAACATTTTTACACATTTGACATGTCATTAACTTCCATCCCTTGTTGCACGGTAAGTTTCCCCCTGCCCCCACACACAAAAAACAACCTTACTGTGTATTTCTGGTCTAGTTTCTAGTGTAAATATATTAGTGCACTTGAAATAAGACAAACAAGTAACTTTTCAGAAAGGTGTTTAAATCAATTTCTTAATATTGATAAAGTATTGGCAGATTATTGCATTAATAACATGAGAAAAATGTTTTTGTGACATCTCAGTGGAACTAGTTCATCATTTGACTTAAACTCATATTTCTGAAAAGTTACCTGTAAGTCAGTTGTTGCCTTTCACTAGAAATTGGACCAAAATAATTTTGGTCCATTACTTCCTTTTTTTTTTTTTGTGTGTGTAGTTTCTCAATTGACAGAAATGAACCAGATAAAAGTTTATTCTAATTGGAGGTGGAAAAGCTTCCATGTTTGTTTAAAGCTGCATTATCTGAGTTCCCAGCTTTCAGTCTCAGGTTCAATATCTACCTTCAGAACTTTCCTTTGAGATCAGTATCTCAAAGGAAAACAATGTAAAAGTAAATGCTTTTACATTGTTTGTAGGAATGTACAGAATATTCAGAGTAAATGTTGGCAAACCAAATCCATGCAAATAATTTTTTTGGTATGCTCCAATAGTGTTTCAAAAACAAAAAAATGCTCATTACTTCCAGTTAAAAGAAACATGCAAGATGAAAGGATGGAGAAAATCTGTGAATATGAATTTAAGACAACAGTCTCTTTGATGGGTTTAGATCTGGACTTTGAATGGGCCATTGTAACATGCTACCAGATGTTTTAATCTGGTGTCAAATGTACGGCTCCTGGGCCATTTGTGGCCTTTGGAATTCTCCATGTGTTCTGTGCCCAAAATTCAAGATTGGTACGAACTTGATCCATCAGCACATGCAGCAGCAAAACTCACAAGATTATTTTCTTCATTTTCATTTTGTGTGGCAGATGAGTGCTGCCCCTGTGACAGAAGGTCTGGTGCTCTGGGGTGAGTCATCTGGAAGTTGGACCTCTGTGCCAGTCTCAACTCTTTAGCAAATTACTAACAAGATTTGAAAAGAAGAGCTATCCGATTATTAAATCAACCAATCTTCATATTAATTTAGAAACTTTTCCCTACCCCTGTGAAGAAACGCATCCGCACAGCATGATGCTGCCATCTCCGTGCTTCACTGAAATATGTGGTTAACTTCCGCCAAAGTGGACTCTACAGTATTTAGAAATTAGGTGACTTCTGAATGAAAAGTGGTTCCTCTGGACTTTTTTTGTTGATGTGTCTGGAAATACAATTGCGCGTTTTCATTGGGAAAACCGAAAATTATTGATTTGGGATTTATGTATTTTTAAGATGACAGATTTGTTTGAAGGTAAGTAGGTGTCGCTCACCGTCGCCGCACAAGCGCACAGTGACCCCTGTGTGTGAGTCACGGTTCAGCGCCACATGCTGAAGAAATGCCTGTCTCTCCCCCTGAGAGTGCTGTCGTCACCGGTCAGCTCTGGAAGCGGGACCTACCCCGGAGGCTCCGCACTTCAGCCGTGGAGGAGCTGAGAGGAGCCCGGGCCAGTCACACAGGCTCTCTCCGAAGATGTGAAGATAAACACCGCGTTACAGCACCGCGTCCCCCTCACTTTCCAGCACCGGAGGAGACATTTTTCATTTTTTTCTTTTTCTTTTTTTCAGTTAAAGCAGTCAGCTGCAGCGCTTTTTATATTTACGTTCTTCCCTCTTTTCTCCCCTCTTTCTTTTTTTAATTTTTGGCATTTATGAGCGGTCGCTATGGCAGTTCTGTCCACATCCGGGCTACAATGCTTTGACTCCATTATTGTCTAAAACTGGCGGAGAGGTTCATTAAACCTTATTATTATTATTTTTTTCTACATCCAACGACACGTTTTTAGTAGGCGCAGTGAAGGCTCGGATCAAGAGGAGATGTCTAACCAAGGAGTCCGGCGGAATGGCCCCGTCAAACTGAGATTAACAGGTAGCCAACAACGCTTTTTAAATCCCCAAATATATTCCCACACACTTAGCTAGGGGAGGCTGGGTGTATTTGCTGGAGGTGAACAGTTCCCATGGGCCATGTCTAAAACTGGCGGAGAGGTTCATTAAACCTCAAGAGGGCTCTCCCGTCTTGTTGTTGCGACTCTTTCTACAAGAGCTCCACGTTAATTTAATTATGAATTTATTTCACGTTGCTGGCTTAAATGCGGGAACAGGCGAGACGGAGCACGAGCGAGCGCTGCATTTTGATATTATTGTTCTTGGAAATAGTCTGAGCCCTGCGATTGTCGCCAGTATCCACCTCCACCAGACATAACAGGGTTCCCGGGGTTGCGCTGCTCGGTGCAGTGCAATGCGATGCAATGGTTTTGTTCTGCCTATTTTATCTCTACTTTGGGCTTAATGAGGAGTGGGAAAAAAAGATGAGCACATTAAGAAAAAAGAGCACGTGATGTATTGCATTTCCAGATACTTAAACACATGTGTGCCTTCCAACTGTGGCACCGCTCTGCTTGACAGACGGACGGCTTCCCATTTAAAGTTGACTAGCTTGGGTTAGCCTAGCCAGTTAGCTCTAAGCAAGCCTTTCTGCCAGAACAAGGCTCGGTTTAGACAACAAACAGCTCCACAGGTCACGAGAGTTTATAACTGGCTCTAAACAGTGTGCAGTGGCCCTTAACTGTCTTCAGACAGGCAGCTGGCTCCTTTGTTTGTTTTCCTAGTTAAAGCAGGTTATTATTAACCCTTTCCTGCATAACAGTAGATGTTTTAGGAACATTTTCTGGAGAAATGTTTTTCAAAGGAAACGATTTGATGTGGAAGAGCATTAAAATACATTTTAATTGATGTCAATATTGATGTCTGTGGGTTTCAAAAGCTGTATTATTTTTTTTTTAAACCTGAATATACATTGAAAAGTTGTGATCGGAATCAATGACAATTGGTCAGTTAAAAATAAATAAGTAGTATTATTATTATTATTATTATGAAAGAGCTACCATTTTCAGTGCTTAAGATAAAGATGTCAGTTATGAAGCATGTAGCAACACGAAAATTTAAAAACAGAAGAAGAATACCATATTTGAGTACAGTAAGGGCAAATTTACAGCATAGAAAAATATAGAATAGTTATTAAAAAATTGCATATCCTGATTTTTAAAAATTCGAAAGAGTAAGACAATTTAAAAATGCACAAAATGTGCCTGCATATTTGTGCATACAAAACAACAGGGTTGATGAGTTTGATGTTAGTTTTGTTGGTTATAGTCTAGGAGAAAGCACCTTTGATAAGGCTCTTTAATACACCTAGGATGCAGTAAAAAAAACATCTCTAAAATGTGTAACTTAAAAAAAAAATACTATAATCGGTAACAGAGAATATCCTGCTTTGAAACAAAAATGCATTGCATCTTTAAAAAAACAATCCTGCAATTAAGATGTACTTTTGTCTGTTTTGATTGGAATCCAATCCTAATTCAGTAACAAATAAAAGTATTCACTACAGCAGGCAGCAATTTGAAAGCTGCTTCCTTGTGTATATGATTTGATTTAGATCTACTTGTATAAAAGCCACTTCGTTTGATAGTGTTGATGTACTCTGCCCCCTGCAGGCTAATGAGTGCAAGTCAGTAAAATATTTCCTCAAACTTGCAGGGCAGTTGTCAGTCAAAAATGCTGAATCATCTTTTATTGTCATCATACAGAAGGACAATGAAATTTGTTTCAATAACAAAAATAAAGACAAACAACCAGCATAAGTCGAGGGCAGACTGGTGCCTGATCTTATATTTTAACAGTGCTTTTATAATTTGACACATCATATATTTTACACCAAATAACTCCAGACTCGTATAATTTTCACAGTTTTGAAAATTATACGAGCCTTGATTTTAGAGAGTCGCGATATATCAGCCTTTTTATCTGCATTGGTTAACTTTTGATAAATCAGGATGGATGCCATGAGTAAAACTGGGCTGGTATCAGTAAGCGATGTTTGTTTCCATCTTGTTTCCCTTTATGTATGTGTTTCTGGGGAGGGAATGTAGGGCGGCCATGTGATATTTGTTTTTTCAGAGTGTCAGAAGGATTGGGAGATCTATATAAATTTGCAATACGACTAAATATCGGTCACTGCTGATGGCAGCCCAGATTTTCATATCGGTGCATTCCACATTGATTTTACGTTGGGGAAGAAATTGCAAATCTTCTGTCCATGATTGTGGACATCCATGGCGCCATATGACCTGAAATTTATGCTGTTACTCCTTTGCAAATGTTTTCGTATTCATAGAATATGACAGTTTTTGAAACCAAAACGACGTGCTTTGCAGATTACTGTGGCTGCATAAATTTGAGTTTGTTTTTTTTTTTCTTTTGGTTTATAAAACTGAAGTAGAATAAATCGCAAGTGCAACTACATCCGTGGAAGTGGAGCTGGTGACTGTGTTTGTTATTGTAGAGGAAGCAGGTCAGTGTTAAACTGTATTATTATTGTTATTATTAGATCAGCAGTCCCGCCTGAACCAGTGACCCGCTCTCACCTCTGCGTTATGATTCATTGTGAAACATTAACATGTGATCCCTCTGCAGCCGCATTATGCTGTGCTGTTCTCTCTCTCCCCCGCTCTCTCTAAACCACTTGGTTTGTGCCTTTTTCAAACAAACAGGGAAAAGAAGGAGAAGAGAAAAATAAGGGTTTACATGAAAGCAGTTTGGTGTTTTGACTGGGACGGGGGTCACACAGCTGCCCTTTATTTGATCTACAGCCAGGTCGTGACCTAAATGCCTTTTAAAGGGGCTGTCTGCTTCCACCAGGAGGAGAGGGGGGGCAAAATGAATGTTCAACCCCGCTGCGGTTTCTGTCTGATAAAAAGCAGAAACTTTGGGTAGTTTTAGTTAACATGGTCAAGGACGGCGAGCTTTCGACCGTGTTTGTTCCATGTTCGTTACTGAGAATTTTCACGCATGACTTAGGGGCACTGCAAAACACTGCAAGGGTTTACTTTAGAGAAAAAAAACTCCCAACATGTTCCAAGACAGAGAGAGGTTGAGAGTCAGCTTTGCTGTACGTCTTTCAGCCTTCCTGTTATCTACCAAAAATATTGCTCTCTAATGTTCTCAAAGAAGCAGTTTACTTTTTAAATGGCTTCTTAAGCACTTTATGGATCCTAAAAAGTTTGATCTGAAATTGGACTCTCTTGTAAAGATGTTTGTCTAGGCACAAATATTATACAAAATGTAATTATCAACGGTATATTGAATTCTCATAACCACATAAGACCATAAGGGATGCACCAATATGGAAAATTTGGGCCGATATCGATAGGTTAGTATTTCTGTTATGGCCGATAAGTAGGGTGCACCGATTGCAGTTTTCTGGCCGATTACGATCTGTAAAAAGCCTGACCTGCCGATTCCGATTTTAGCCGATACTGATTTCTTTTGTCTGAAATGTCGCTAAATTCTGCAAGAAAGTCGCTAACTTTGCAACAGTAGCCACTGACATGATCTGGTGGAACGGTCTGTCAGTCAAACCGGAGCAGAAGAGGACAGCGGCTGATTTTTAGACCTTTGCCGATAAGATCGGCTTCACATGGAAGCCATGGAAGCCGATCTTATCGGCAAAGGTTGATCTTGGCTGATCTCAGAAAATGAAGAAAATTGGGCAATATTATCGTATATCTCCGTAACTTTTGGGACAATTTATCATCTAGCAAAATTTGTTATCCCGACAGGCCTACTTATCGTAGCTTTATATTTTCCCATTATAGCGCAGTCCTAATTCTCAGGCCTTAATATTTACCCTCTCAGTGATTGGTGTTCTGGACACATCGCCTTCATATCTTTCTTACTTGAAAAATATTCAGAACCAGAGCATTTTGTCATGAATTCATTTCAGTGCTGCCCTGGTTGACCTGCAGTTCTCTCCTGCTGGAATGCTGGGAATGTGAGTGCTGTGAAAAATGGCAGGAGCCTGCAGACCAGCTCTCCTTTTGATGCTGAGTAACCCAGCACAGCACCTTAAACACCCTCGCTTCAGGAACAGCTGCACGTCCGGATCATTCTCATTCGCTCGCATGTATTGTTCTTCTGTGGCCTGTCACCATGACAAATGTTGCTGGATGTTAAATTATCCCAGAAATGATTGTGATAAATGACAATATTGTCATTTTGAGATCATTTTCTGTAATAATAAGAATGGCATATTAATGCAAATATATCCTCTCAAAATTGAACTAAATTGAATTTCTGAAGATTTAACACTGAAACTGGAAAACAGGTTAAATAATCCAAAGCAAACAACAATAATTAAAATGGATTATGAAGTTTCAGTGGTCAAAATTACATTTCAGAAGATAATAGTAATCAGTCAGCTTAGACCAGGAAAACAGGCAAAAGTAGCAAGAAGTGCAAACTACTTCGAATTGGGTGTCAAATGTTTGCAGCGTCTCTCAGGATGCAGACTTTTCAATAATATTAAACTGGAGCATCTCTTTAACAACTGTTGTCCAGATGTAAACTATCTCACTTGTTTCAGTTTATCATGCGATGTATTGATTAATTACTTATTGGGACGGGCTTACTCACTCTTGCGTTTTCTCTTGGGTCTCAATTAGGTTCCTTTGAACCGTACAGGGTCGGTGTGACAGAACCTCGACACCGCGGTTGTCCACGCTGAGGCGAGGCTCGTCTGTCGAATGCGCCTCTGCAACACGACTTCTGGGTTTTCTCATTTTTTGGATCCTGACACGTAGCTGCTTATTAGCGTCTCCTCAGCGAACGACGCGTCGCTACATCTGAAGCAGCTCCTATTGCTGTTTGCCTCGTAGGCGTCCATTTGAACCAGATGTTCCACATGTTTGCCAGCTTCTAAACTTAAAACAAACAAAAAAAAGCTTCTAAAACCAACACTTTGGAGGGCGACTCGTCCCCCTCCTCCTCCTCCTATTTTTTCCTCTGCTGCCGTACAGCTGATCACTT